ATCACATGTATACACCAATGTCTGTACTATTTCTATTCATACCGATAAAAAAGTAATATGATTTATTGTATCAGGCCTTTAGGGCAACTCTTCGAGTTATAAAATTTTTTTCCGATCGTTTCCCAGAGAAACGGTTTTGCCAAGAAGTAATCTTATTGGCCAAGGTTTCCGATAAATCAATAGACACGTGACATTTTTATTGCTTGTCACAATCTATGCAATAAATCCGTCCATTTTTTTACTTTAATAAACTAGCCCCATCGGGTTTTTATTTTTTAACTGATTGACGAAGTGTATGCGCATCGGCGTGTGCTGGTTTTAAATGTCGAAAATAAATTGCTAATCGATGCGCACCTATTTAATAATAAACCGTAAAGTTTGGAAATGTCATCTCATAAGGGAAGAGAAGAAACCGTCACGTCGGATGTTATACCAGCTACGAAAAGGAAATTATCACGACGCCTCCGATATAATAAAAATAAGAAACTCAAGTGGGAACAAGAGCATGCCGAGGTATCTCACAAATCGGAAGATGTACCATCACTCACTGGCCCTCTTGACAAATCTGATATTATTTTCAATCTGCTAAGGATATAATATTTTTTGTACGAAATAATGATATTTTTTCAGAATAATATACAAATGTTTAGAAAATTAAAAACAGGAGCAACTCAATTATCACCCGAAGCAATTAGTGATATAATTACTGCTAAGGATATTGCAAATTCATTACAGATATTAGCTAAAAAATACAATATATCCTACACACGAATTCGTGAAATATGGAAATTCACTATTGTGATAAATAATCTCTTATAATCGATTCAACCCAATATATTTGTACATTTCTCTCATTTTTATTACAAATACCTTCACAAAATATGACGAATATAACATTCTTGAAGAGATGGTTCAAAAACCCAATCTACATTAAAATTGAATCATATTATTCTAGAGTATATAGTTATTAAATCAAATAGGCCCAAATCCTTAAATCCGATATAATCGCATAATCGCATAATCTCATATAATTAATAAATAAGTTATAAAATGGTTAATTTTAGCAGTTTAGTAGCTCATCAGGGTTCTAAATGTTCAGATGAAGAATGGGATGAATATGTAAAGTTGCCACAAATTCATGATAATGAAACTCCCAGTGAGTGGATGAAACGGATTTGGGAACGTCTTATATATTTTAGAGAAAATGATCTCCTACCTTATAATAGCAAAAAATATCTTGAAGCTAGGAATTTAATACGATTTCCGGATGGCAGTTCATATGCTCCTGAAATCGGAATAGCAATATGTTTCTCTTGTGATCGATTAGTATATACTGGACAAAGAACGAAGAATATGGGAAATTATAACCATATAGGAATGGAAAAACATTGGAAATTTTCATGTACTGGTAATAAATACTGTGGTGTAAATTATGAAGAATATATGAAAATTAAGCAAAAACCTAATTCTGTACGTAATTTTGATAATATGTATGCATTACATCGATATGAATTATGGATGCAGAATACTATCAGAAGGATCAAACGTGTTAGAAAAGTTGATTTAACTACTTAGAAGTTAGTATTACATTATGCTTATTTACAGAATATTAAAGCAGAAATACATCAAATTAATGACGTATAGGTATTAATATCTGTAAAATGAATTATTTATCTGATTTATATATCTACTAAGAAAATTTATATCTTTTTTTTTCTACGTATAAGTTGGTTTGCTTTTTATTCTTTTCTTTTGTCGTAATAATATCTCCTAACTGATCGCTTTTCCTCTTCATACTCCATATACGTCTCAATACCACGAACACAGCAATAATCAATAAGGTAAGTAATACATATGCCGATAACTGTGATATCAAAGTACTTACCACATTAGGTATTGCTTCTATTCCTCCTACCGAAATCTGCGGATATGATTTAATCAGAGAGGAAGTATAGTTTCCTACTTGTGCAAGGTGTGGAGTCACATTCTCGGGTGTGCTCAATAATATATCAGAATTTATATGTGTGTCTAGCATAATATCTTTACTAGTTTCTCTATTATTAGTTTCATATGAGTTAGCATTTTCATTTCGTGAATCACTTACCTTGGGTATAGGGATGACTATGTCATTATCATCGATTTTTTCAATATTTTTTTTGCGTGCAAGATACGGTCTGAGACTATTGCTAGATTCACTAATTATAGATATATTAGATGCGAAAACATTCTCACTCTGTGAGTCAGACTTGACTTTATTTTTTTCCTCATCTCCACCATCTATTGTGGAACAGGCCAAAGAGTCTACAGGTTTTGATATAGCCTCCGATTTCAGGTGATCGAGTTCGCTTCTCACACGCTCCAATTCAACTTCTATTTGTTTAAACTCACCCATTTTAGATTTAATGGATAAATTCTCAGATTCACGGGAAATCTGTGATCGAGTAATCTGGGATGTAAGGTTAGTATTCTCGCTTTGAAGTTGTTTATTCTCATTAATAATTTGTGAAGTGCGAGTTTGTAATTCCTGAAACTCGGTACCATAACGTAATGCATCCTGATTCCACTTCTTTCTTTCCCGATCAAAATTTTTCAACCGCTCTAAGTATTTATCCTGTAATACTTTGTTACAATCATTTAGCTCGGATATAGACTTTAAACTATGCTGTAAAGTTTCTTCGAGTTCTTGTTCCCGTACACTGCCAAGACGATGACCTTTATTAGAGCTAATATCTCGTAGCGTATGTACACTTGTAATATACAAATTTACAAAATTTAAAATCTGATATAAAGTATTATAAAATATCAGGTAATTACCGGTAACTTTAGATAATTACCGATAATTTTCAATAATTATATATATTTTTTTATAATTGGAAAAAAGATGGAACACATAACTGTAGAATATTATCGCGCTGGTACTGCTTATTATCTCCAGAAGCTATGGAGGAAATCATTCAATCTCGAGGAACGATTAAAAATGCATGCAAGAAAATGGTTGATAGATATAGCACTTCAACTCGCCGAATTTATGAAATCTGGAAAAGACATGCCCAAGGATTACCCCAACGCAAGCAACAAATGATAAAAAATACTATTCCGCCTGAAAATGATAGGCAGAGTAAAAAAAGAAAATCTAAATCCAAATCAATTCACTTTCCCCATTCAACTTCTATTAGTGAAGGGATGTCAGAAAAAATAAGTGGGGATGATATAAGTACCCATAATGTATCTACCTCTGGTAATATTCCTAATACGGATATAGTCGAACTAATTAGGTGAGAAATAAAAATAAAAGATATACTTTTAGCCAGTGCTAGTCGTATAACATCTACTACCTAATTTATATTTTTATTATCTATAACAGACTCAGTGATATTTCCACACTTGATTTGTAGAACCGAATTGCAATTATTAAGTTCTGTGATCGATAAATATGCATTATAAAGACTTTTCTCATACCTCTCACAATTCACGCATTTTTTTTTACCTCTGATGCCTGTAATTTTTCTGTATTAAATGCATTGCGTAATTCTTTGCGAGTAGAAAGAGGAATTGTAATAGTCTTTCCATTGTATGTAGCTGTGAATTCTCCTTTCACTATTGGATCCCACCCGACATGATGTTGCCATTTTGTACCAAGTATCATTATAGATATATCTTTTCCATTTCAATCTTTTTTTGTAGGGATTACAGATATTTCTTTTTCAATAACTGTTATAAAATCTTCTTCAGTGCCTATGGTTATAGGAACATTATATGAAGTACCAATGGATTGAGAATCTCCAACTGTGCCAGTAAGTTTGTGAACATTTTTCTTATCTATTTTTATCCCTAAATACTCAGGAATGTTATCTGTAAACAATGAATCATCTGCACCGGTATCTAGAATTGCATGGGCTATTATCAAGTCGCCTATCCTACATAAAATAGTTGCGACATCATTAGGTTCTATTTTGAGAAAATCCACCTCAAAAGGATTAGGCCAATTTCGGGTTATTTGTGCTCCTTGATATACTTTAATAGCATAATTTAAAGAGCGAAACTCAGTGTTTTCTGGAATATTTGGATAAGGCACAATGTCATAATTTTGGTTCATATCTTTATGATTTGAAGAGTTTGGGCTCTGCCTATTAAGAAGTTTAATAAAGGGCTGGAAAATAGTTAGATGTTTTTTCGCAACAATTTCCCATACCTTATTTCTTTCTTTGACTGTATACTTTTTAGCATAATATGAATCAAATTGGTCCTTCATTTTTATAAACAAATTATTAAGAAATGTACGAAGTTCAATAAGAATTTTCCTAGGACAATTAGGTATTAATTCGGAAATCATATATTTAAGAGATTCAAGAAATATTTCCTGCTCCAAAGTAACAATAGATTTCTTAGTAGGCTTCTTCTTTATAGGAATCTGACTTTTTTTTTTACATTGAAACAATTTTGTGGTTCATTATTAGATATGCTTTCTTCTTCCTCCCCCTCTTCTTCTTCACTTTCGTCATCTTCCAATATCATCACCTCATCATCTGAATTTTCTGGTTCACTTTGATAAACATTATTAACTTTTTTAGGTTTCTTGACAAAACCAGGACACATATTTTTTCTATGTCCAATTTTTTTGCAATTTGAGTATTTATAAGTAATATTAATAGGTTTCTTTGCAAACTTCTTTGCTGGCTTCTTTGTATTATATACTTTTTTTGAAGTTTTGGTACTTACTTCACTAACTTGACCAAAAGGTTCTTTTTTGAAATTATAATTTGCACGTCCTAATCTGCTATATAATTCATCATCGATAAATTTATTTAAAGTGTCAGGATTTCATGATGCTTCATTTGAATAACCTAATTTTTCAACAATACTTTCTAAATAATCTTGCACTTTATATACCATGGCATTAGCTCTGCTATTATTATTTTTTTGTGATAAAGATTAATATGGGATAGGAGATGAATTAGTTACAATAATAGATAAATTTCTATTTCCATTATATGTAAAAGTAGAAGGTTGATGCTTAAGCCAGATATTTTTTAAATTGGTAAAAAACGCATCTATATCTGCTGGAGCTGTATTTTCCATTCTTGAAAAAAGCTTATCTGGTAAATGATTCCATAAGATTGCCAATGCGTCAGCATTATTATTTGGTGTTTGCAATAATAAAAGTCTAATTCTTTTTTCATAAGTTTCTGAAATATCTGTAGGTAAGAATTTTTCTTGCGTCAATTTTGTTAAAGAAGCTTGCCTTGTTCCTACAGTTAATTTGTGATATTTATACCTAAGCCAAGCTCTGAAACAGTCTGAAGTATCAATATTAGTACCAACAGGATATTAAGCTGGAACTGAAACATATTTTCCTGCCATTTTCAACTTATAGATATCTGCCTTATGCACATCAGTAAAAGTATTAGCATTTGCATGATTGCTATCAATTATTATTGTATCAGCAAAAGAAATTGCTTATTGAATCTTATTACAATAGTCATCCGGTGGTTCTTATCCTATGTAATTAGGAATATGTGCAAGACTTGTTTGAATAGTTTGATATATATGTTGTCTAGAAGTGGCAGCCATATTGAGGGGATGCTAATGGATTATTTTGTAATACAAAAATTTGTTAACGTAAATTAATAATTGTTTGTTGGATGTCATGGATTTTATTTTTCCACTTTTGATATCTAGCTATAAGTTGGTCACGCCAATATTCTAACATAGTCCCATTAGCATGACATTCTTGTAAACATCTTTTGGCTTGATGTGCTCTATTTCTATAAATAGTATATTGTCGATAAATCCATTGAAAATTATTTAAGGCTCTGCATCTGGCTTCAACATATGTTAAACCTAAAATACGCAAGTGTTCTTTTAACTCATTATATTTATTTTTCAGTTTTACAAAATTTTCAGATACTTCTACATATTCTATTAACTGATCTTCAAAGTTTTGCTGAGTTTTCAATAATTCCCCTTGAATACCAATTATGGATTTTGTTAATCAATAATTTTCGATACGATATAAATCTAACTGGTCTTGAAAAGTCTGATTTTTTTCTGCCAATTCATTGGAAAAATCCTGCTGATTTTGGATTATATCTACTTGCTCATTTATAGTTTGTTGCTAAACAAATAGACAGGTTTTATTTTTTTCAATAATACTTTCTTTTAGATAACCAATCTCGTAGTTATATTTATTTTCGATTTGAGTTATCCTCAATTCAGTTTGTGTTTGAAGATTATCAATTTCATCAGAAAGTAATGGATCATCATTTCCTCTATAACAATTAGTTAAATATTTGAAATTATCTCAGACCTTAATCAATAATGTAAAAACTGTTTCAGAACTATTAGCGGTATTACTCGACATTCTAATATTTTGGCATAGTTGTTGGATTCTATGTTGAAATAAAGATATTTCATTACTCATTTCTAGTAATTGAGCCTCAAGAAAAATATTATTTTTATTCTTATTCTCAGCATCTTGTA